TCCAAATCCGACGAAAGAAAAAAGTGGTAGTTTGCAAAACCATTTTTTCTTATAGTTTGAAGTGTGTTCTATTCGCTGATAATACTTTTAAGTGCACTCATTCACTTTTTTTTTGACCATATTTTCAAAAAAAACGGTACAATAGACAGTAGAATCACTCATATATATGTGTGTACGTGTTACGGAATAGAAAAAAGAAAAGTTATAACAATAACAAGGTAGAAAGATACAAGGAATAAAATGAGATAGCAAGAGGGGCAGATGGAAGCAGTTTACCGCTAACAACTTGACATGAAATAAAGTATCTTTAGATATGACAACAAAAATGAAGTTCTACTGCAGCAATGTTTAACGTTGAGTAGATTCTATGAGTATCAATACGAAGAAATCGAATATTTGTTTACTGTATGGATAACGAATGACTATGTTCCGGTGTTAATTTCATCCTGTTTCGGATTCGTATAAAAATTAACACAAAGCGAGGTACAATTAATCTTAATACTTTGCTTAAACCACCGATAATACCAAATATCATTGTCAAAATGTGAACAAATTCACGTCGAGCAATGTATGAGTACGTACATGAAAATGGTTGACAAGCATCATAATAAGCTCGATGCAAAAGTCGATACTCCCATGTTTCGATCATAAGATGAGTGAGCATTTCAGCGAATGTTGTATTCACTGTGTATGAACTATTTTGTGTTGCATTTAGAATACGAGGTATTGTAGCTAAAGAAATTAAAATGTAAAAATACAACATTAGTTAAATTTATAGCAAAGTTAGATATTTTATTCTAGCATGTGTCCATGAGTTTATGTCGACTTTGTCTAAGGTTAAGCTGAGTGAAGAATTCGATTCTAGGTCGATTAAGCATTGGTGTTCCTATATTTTGTCTAAGAAAGAAATCACGTTTATTGACTAATAAAAGATTTGTCCGTCAAAAATGAAATTGATGCCCCACATGTGACAGACCTAGATTCGACACAATAGTAAGCTTTGTGCTGATTTTCTTGCAAACTCTTTGATAATTGAGGGTTCTCTCTAAATCAAGTGACTATCATCGATAATAGTTTATCGAACTCTGTATATTGATTCTACTTTTTATGCATATTTTTACAATGTGAAGATATTAGAATTGGTGGAAAATGGAATGCTGCTTTAGCAATAAAACAATATCGACATTCTAGTAATAAGGATCTTTGTTGAAAGCAGCATCGCTCGATAGAAAATCACGTTCTGCAACGAGCAGTCTTTAGATGAATTTTAAAAGAAAATACTTGATTCTGCTGTAAACTTACCTTAATGACCACGATTCAATTTCTCAAGTATGTAAGAAAGACAAGTTTGTGAGAAAAGACACCTAGTCGAAGAGAGAAGCATTGCCTCAAACATGTAACAGCCAACATAGAAACCATGAAGATAAATGGGTGGGCCTACAATTTCATAAAAACCAGCTTGTTGTAGACATGAAGAAGACGTAAGACAATTGCATGTTGGGTAGCGAAGATTTGTCAAGCCAATTGTTTGGTTTGAAGCATAAGTGTCAAATGAATGGAATACACTCATATTAACATTACTGAATGTACTAGTTATAAACTAAACATAGAATATGAAATGTTCGCTAATCAAACATTAGAATTTGACTATATTTTTCGGTGTTCGCTAAGCAAAAGTCAATGCTGAAGATGAAGAAAAAAGTATCTTATCTTTGTTTATTATTCAGTTTTACATAGCAAATTCTTTTTTTAACATGTTTTCTAACGAGACATTTGCTTTTCTAAAATACAACGATTTTTACAGAAAATATATTGCTGTTAAATAATACGTCGCTTTGCTATAGTTTTCATTTGCAAAATTCATACACGTCATATTGAATCAAAGGGGTATAGGTACTTTTATTTTGACCAAATTAGCACATCTCAGAGTCAAATTAAATTACGAAATACAAGAAGAAAGTTCAACTGCGTATTCCACAATAAAGGGAAAGAGACATATTTACGTTATTATTATAAATGGAATCTCTTCCCATGCTCCTAAACAATAAAAGCGTGCACTAGAGACATTTTAGTAGTTCGAAATCTAGTGAAAGCCATGTCCAAATTTCAAGAAAGGCTTTAAAATGTTCTGGTACAGTCTCATCGTCGTTGTACATGCCGTTCAGCGCCTTTTCGTTGCTAAAGAACTATAGAAAAGGAGTCTAGCGCTTGCTAGGGGGCGGAAAATCTCAACTTAGAACTTATGCTCATTATTTTTCTTCGAAAAATATATGTGACTTTTACAAAACTCTTCGGTGCAAAGTTTATAAATAAGATTATTCTTCCAATAATATTCACCAGATCGATCTTACACAACTAAATACAGAATTCTCACTAATCTGGTTACTATACGTAATATCTCGAATAAGTTTAATAGCAACGTTCAGTTCTTGTTCACCAGCTTGTACCATTGTTTTGAATAATTCGTCTATTTGTCCCTCCAATCGTTCTTTGTTCAACACTTTACTGGACGCAAATTGAGTTTCAGAAAACGTATTTATTCGATCGTTGACTGTTTCTTGTGAGAGTTCACACAGAATATAAATTGCGGTAAATGTGTACGAAGCAGTGCTACGAAAATCATAATAGTATGCATAATATGAGCCAGAGTTGTCTGCAAGAAAGTTGAGCCACGTATCACTGACAAAATCACTTGAGCATAACTGATAAAATTGAGGTGCAAATGTAACAAATTTTACATGTGGTACAGCAACAGTAGAGCAAGGACATGTAAGAGTTGTGGGATATTGATTATCAAGTTCGACAAATTGGTCATAGGCAGGTTTAGATATAGTTACTAAGATAGTAGTCGACGTCAGAGATGTATAAAAAAGAAAAATGATAAGAATAAAAGAGAATAAGAAAAGAAAGATTCTCGTGGAAAGAATTTCGTGCCATTGTGACTTGCTCGAATGACGAAAGAGATTGAACGAATGAATTTGATGCCATATAGCGTTGACCAAACTATGAATCTTCTTTCGCCATGATAGATTTGACTGTCTAGGATTTTTTGGTTTGGTAACAAATTGAACAAGGAATCCAACAAAGAACTGTAGCACAGTCATAAGACCTCCAATGAGACCAATGACAACAAGTATAATTTCAACAAAAGTTTGCGTTCTAGTAACATAGTAGGTACATGATTGTGGATCACATTTGTCAAAATATGATTGGTATGAGATATTGGTTGAGTAAGTATCAAACATGCTTGTATCGAGAATCGATTCCATTATTATCGTTTTCGAATATAAAGTTGGTTGTTGTAAAGGACGACTTGAAGCGTTGATAACAGCGTAACTAACTGCTTCGACAGTGTTTATATCATAGAGGGAAAAAAGAGATGAGACCAGAAGAGCTTCAATACCGTCACAATTGGTAAAAAAATGATCAAAGGTTATATTTTCAAAATGAGCACTTTGCTTGCACGTCAAACGTCCCGTTGCCCAATTAAATATATTATAAAGTGCTACAAGACCTTCACTACCAATAGATAATTTGGCGAGATTGTTTTCAAAAATCTCATTAGCTGATAAAAGTAAATTAATTTTAGACATGTTGCGTACCCGTCTAAAAGAGCGAGAAAATGCCACACGAGCTTTAGAGATTTCTTTTTCAATCGTGGCAATAGTTTGAGCACTAATTTGAGCTTGAGTGGATAATTCAACGCTTAGAAGAGAACTTTTGTAAAACTGACGAAGCTGAGCATCTAGTGTTTGATATGCAAGTTGACAGAATAATGAAAGCAGACGAAAAGACAATCGAAATTGTACAACTTGATCATCGTATGAAGCATAAAGTGCATTAAGCCATGCGTCACTAACAAAATCACTCGAGCATATTGGATGGAATACCGGCTTAACAGAAACGAATGTTTCATATGGAATAACCGATGTCGAACAAGGACATACGAATGTTGTGTCATTGTAGTTAGTGATAGTGTCCAATGATGGCGAACGAAGCGTAATGGTGTACGTATTGATGATAAGCGCATAATATTCAATGATAATGATCAATCCAACGGAAAATAAGACAAGATAAATGCGTGTTGATAAGAACTCATTTCTTATATCACGTTCTGTATGCGAATCTAACGAACGGAATAAATTGACTAGACGAATCTTTTTGATGATACGGATTTGATTTATGGAACGCCGAAATCGATGAATGATACTTAGAGAGCCTAAAGAAAAGTAATATGAGCATATTTTGTGATAGTGGCGTAGCCAGGGGTGGGCTAGCCCAGGCACTCACAGTTTTTGTCGGGCACCGGTCTAAAGCAAAACCTAATAATAACCGCTGAAACGTTTATCCTTTTTTCTTGTATATACAATGGTATGTATAAAAAACACCGAAAGAAAAAGTGTTGAAAAATAAATATCGAAAGCGCTTTTAATGCAGCTTCTACACACACTACTCATATATAAGTGCAAGATATGGATGCTCCAGAGCGTGAGGGTGCCAATGAGGATGTGCGGACGGGTGTGCTAAAGCTGCAATAATAGCGCTATCGATATTTTTTCTTTCAGTCTTTTCTATAGCATTCTATACAATAGCTCTAAAAAACCAGTTAGTGAATGGCATCTATAGGATAAAGTCTAGACACAGTGATGAGCAGGCAATATCAGTTGCTTGTTTACTTTTTTTCATCTTACTGCTTAATTTCACTTAATAAAATAACAGATACATTGTTTTGTCTCTCTCTTTAGGGAAACGAAAATTGGGAGACTCAAGTGAGCTTCAGGAAAAATTTTCACTATTGTAAATCGATTTTTTTTAAAGATTGTGGGGCACCGCTCGGGCACCCATAATTTCCTGGTTACGTCACTCTTTGGTGAGATTAGACATTATCACTTCGTCCTAATGCTGCCTGGATTATGCCGACGAGTCCCTGAAAACTCTGTCACCATGTCAACAACACAAATGTTTTCAACTATGAGAGAATCACTCTGCTTCTCCTCTCTGGAACAATCTATGCTACAGTATCATAGCGAAGATCTAACAGGGCTTTAATGGGCTGTACTAAGCCAACTCAACTCCAGGACCACAATTGTTCAAAGAGAAAACCATGAACCAGTCTGAGGCGATTTTTTTTAATGGGCGTGCATGGTCTATCTGTCGAAAATTGTTAACTTGCTCCTTTATAGACTCAGATTTCTCGGAAATAGGGAGTAAGTATACAAAAAAAGGCGAACAGCCAAAAGAAATAAAATTGTTACATTCACATTAATAAATTATTAAATGAATTTTATCTTGTTCACTCAAATATCGAATCTCCTTCCTGTCTTGTATTGAGTGACAGTGAGGTTTTTTTATGATTACTACTGTTTTCCCTTTTTCTGCTACATATTTACGAGTCACCGAGATTGATCTTTTGGAATATATTCAAATCCTTGATTTTTTTAATAGCAAATAATACATTCTACTAAGTATACCAGGAGAGGAGCATAATCCGATAAAGTCAATCCTCACCCTCGACATCTTTCGATTATTCATTTGTATAGCTGAGGTCTTATAATTAGTATTTAATTCGAATATACATTCGTGTTTCGTATCAATCAATGAAATACAGTTTCATGTACCTAACTCTTTTTGATCGTTTGAAGAATTGATACTTACTTGAAGCATCGGAAACCTGTTTCTTTCTTCTAATAAAACCGACAAACATTGGAACAATAATTTGAAGTATTTTAGTAAGACCACCAATAAGACCCAGTATTGTTGTAGCAATAAACAGCAAAGGATGGCGCCCAACGAATGAGTAAGAACATGTCTGAATTCGACAAGCTTCGAAATAGGATGTATAATTTACTGCAACTGCCCACTCGTCGACCATCAATGCTCTTAGTAATGTTTCAATCGTATCTGTTTTGTTAAATGTAATTGAAGATGGTAAAAAAATAGTTGTATTAAATGGAATATATTGATGTAATTGATTAATACATAAAGAATTGTAGAAACATTCGAGTGAAGAAGCCAAAAGTGATTCAAGAACAAAGCAACCTGTTTGAAAGCCAACAACATCATACGTTCCATTATCTTCATAGATTTTAGACGGTGCATTGCATGAGAATGATGTGGAACAATTGCAATTGTCACTATATATTTGAGAAAATGCCGAAAAAATATGCAAATACCAACTTTCACCTTCACTTTTGCTACTGTTAATTACATAGTTCGATCGAACGCCTGACATGAACTTTGAAAGAAGACAAAAACAGCTGATTTTTAATTCATAAAAATAAGAATTTTTACCTGACTGCCAAAGTTAGTGATACGAATCATTTGTAATGAGTTGATAAATTGACTTGTGATGCTTTGAATAAATTCATCAATAAATTCTTTAGCTTTCTCTTGCAACAATATTTCTTCAATTATAAAAGCATTATTGAACATAGTAGCATTGAAATCGATTAGATTCGCTATGATTATTTGATTGACAGATGAGCACAGAAGAATCAGAAGACGAAATTGAAGAGCAGCAGTAAAACGAAAATCGTAATTATTCGTTAATGTTTCAGTAAATTGAAACAAAATATCGATCAGTGGGTTTAAATCAAGAGAACACACGTTGTGCATATTAGCTTGAAGTGAAATAAATGCTTGATAAGGAATTGAAAGATTCGAGCATGGACATTGCAGAGTATCTTTGAATTGAGTTTTAAGTTTTTCATATTGTGACAGACTTCGTGTTTCAACTGTAATAGAATTAGTAAAATCATCTGCTAGCAAATAGATCAAAACACTGAATAAAATAATTGAAAAGAAAAGAATGAAGATTCGAGTTGAGATTATTTGATTTCGAAGTTGATGACGGTTGTTAATCACATTGGGATCTTGAAATAGATTAAAGCTATGCAGATAGCTTTTCAGCCGTTGAGAAACCATCATCTAACAACTATAACAGACGTTTTTTTTCTTCTAATGTCTTGCCTTCAACAATCAACAAGTTTATTTCTCTAGTATCTTGGCTCCGTTGATGCATAAACCTCTTTTTTTCCTTACGACGAAACGACTTTTATTTTTTTCAAATAGTACACAAAGTAAAGACTGACTAGAAGTATGAATCAACTAACGGCTATTAGGTAGGCGTCTTTTATTGAAGCAGTTTTGATTGATAAATCAGTGCACACATTTTTAATATATTTATTAAACCCCCTCCCATATCAGAAGCCCCCTTTTAGGGGTCTCTCAAGCTAAATTTTCAGTTTTTGCTAGCAAAACTCGGTCATAGGTTACGAGGCAAAATAGAAGCCTTGGGGGCTTCTAATATGGGGGGGGGGGGAAGGTCACTTTACATCGAGAACCTGAGTTCATTAAAAAACGGTTTTTTACTGCTGAAAAATACACTAGTTTTCTATTATTAATAAATTTCTCAAATGGTACTAAAAGTGAGATCCAGATACTGCTCGAGTTTTTCATATTAGTTTAGAATGTTACATGAAATTTTATTTGTATTTCAAGGACTTTATGCCAACTAAAATGTCGAGTAATAATAATATTTGCAGTTGAACAGTCCATAAGATGAGAGAGTATTGTGAAAATGAGTTAAGATAAGTGCGTAACACTTCACTTGATAGAATGTCCTATATTAACTCTCTTTGGAAATGAAAAAAACAATTTTTTGCTTATTCGAAAATGTCACTTTGATGATAAACATATATCAAATTTGAAAAGCTCTTTATGTTCTATTTATTTTTTCTGTAAAAGAGAAAATATAAAATTTTTCATTGAAATAAACTCAAAAAGTTTTCAATTAAAATCCTTAATCTAAAAAGAGATAAATACTAAATCTCATATATTAAATGATTTTGCCATAAGATCATAATTTCATATAGGCACTATAAACAAAACCGGCGACAATTGGTCTGGATGATATTTATTATAACCATTCTGGTTGTTGTCATCGTAGCATCCGTTCTTCTCAATCAACGTATAAGTAAGTTATATAATCTACATTAGAGATGTAACAGTTCTTTTGAACAAATGAACTGAACTGTTACACCTCTAATCTATATAGATATGATCAAAATATTTTAACTTTATACATTTGCTTCATTCAAATGTTTTTTTGAAGGCAAAAATATATGTTGTAGCTCACAGCACTTTCTCAATTGTTAATTACATTCTCGAACAAAAAACTTTCCTCCTCTCTCTCTCTTTCCTTGTTATACTGTCAAGCTTTGCATCAAGGTTTTAGCAAAATGAATGTATGACGTGAACAACTCCTTCCAGTTTAGGCATCCAGGGCTTTTTTAAATTTGTTTATGAATCTATGCAATCATGAAACGCGTGTAAGCGTGACTTCCGTTTAAACACACTTCGAATGCAATTAAATACATCATTCTATTTTTTCAAACGCGTTTGCCATCTTCTGCGTAAATTTGAGCGACTTTCTCGAAATTAACGCGTCCAGATAATTTCAGATTAGCTATAGATAGAAGGTTGTTCATATTGATGCTACAGAGAAATTTCCTCTCATGCTGGCTATGGTAACAGTCAATCTTTCGATACCCTTTTTAAAAGACATACCGAAGCATAGAAAAAAAAGAAGAAGATAGATTTTTGCTTCAGGGATGTACCTCTATATCGAATTTCTGTTTGCTTTCGAACGTTAATTGTTAGAATTGCAACGTTTTAAAAGAGCACTAACTTTGGCTGTAAAAAAGAAATAGTCTGCCAATTTTGTTGGATTCAGAATTAAAATACAGAAGCATCTAGAAAATCTTTACGTAACCTGAATCCATAAGAAGCTCTTGAGATCAAAATACGGGCTTATGTAAATATAAACAAAAATGAAGTATTTCTAAGTAATTAAATGATCTCTATTATCAAAATTTATCTATAAGCTCTCTGTTATCAACGATAAAAATATTTCATTGTTGTTCATAGATTATTCAAAGAGTTCAACTGCCATAGTTTCAACATTGATAACTACTTCTACCATTATATCAACAACAAAAACCGCAAAGAACAATGACAACAATGATACATGCTAGTGATAATTTCTTTCTTTTTTCTAAACATATCTATATATATTATTTAGATATTCATTTTGGATTCGTTAATAGCAGTTCCATTGCTAATAAAACTTTTCCCCTTGGTTCAACTATAATTTACAATGATGACGATCAAATTTTGACTACTGGATACATTAGTTCTATTACTTTCCAGCTGCCAGCATCCTTCAATATCAATGGGATATATGGCAATACACTTAATTTCTATCTTCTCTTCAATAACTCAATCATCACTACTTATTATATTGCCCCCGATACAACGGCTCTCGTACAATCAATTGATATTCCTTCATGGATATTGACTGTTTATCCAGGTGTATATTTAGGCATCGGTGTGCTTTCAGTTTTAATTAATGAAAATACTTGGATTTATGATAATACTATATGCTCCACTCAAAAAGGCAACGCTTATTGGGTGCAAAGTTACTATGGATGGGTAGGTGCTTTGCAGCCAGAATGGATCGAACAAGAAACGGGTGTTGCACTTGCATTTGACGTCGTTTACAACCGTGAATTCTTAATTTTAAGGGCTTTTTCGATTGATATTCCTTCTTTTTTTTTCTCTAGCTGTATGGAATGGAACGACACCATCAACACCAATTCCTCCTCCAATAACAGATCCACCAGACGTATGTAAGTTATGTAGCAGGATAAAATCCAGCAATCAGACAAAAGTTGAATTTTTTATTGTGCGGCTAAAAAAAGACAAATGGTGTTTTTTCGAGGAATCTTCCTTCGATACTGAACTGAAATATGAGGCTTTATAACATATAAAATTTCTTGTAGCGTTATTTCAGATATATGAGTTTAATATTAATGAATAAAGTAAGGAATAACTTGGATCGAAGAGAAAAGCAAAATAATATTTTTTAATGAGTGATCAACATTTTGTCTGGTATTTATTGATTAGATTCCACATATG